AGGGTTGAGGCTATAGTATACACCCAATGACCCAGATTCAATCACGGCAGATTAAATAGCCATGGTTGTATTTCATATTTGAATTTTAATTTCTTTATGCGTATACAAATAATTTAAAATTTTGAGAATCTATTCTTGAAAAATAGGTGCACCTAATAAAAATACCAAAAAATAATTAATAAAAATAAATTGATCAAAATACCCTTAAAAATTTTAAGGGTATTTTGGTCAATTTATTTTTTGAATTAATTTCAAATTTTTTTATTTGGTGCGGCTTAATGACAAGTGTGGGTGCTCTGAATTTCAATTGATTTGAATTTATATAAAAAATATTAAAATTCAAATATGAAATGGCATCGTGACTATCTGATTGACCTAGATGCGAATCTGAACGGTTGGGCACATATTATTGCATTAGCCCTTGGACGTATAAAAATTACTCCCTATGACTTTCAAGAGGTTTGAAATACATAAGAACCTGGGAGAATTCTATTTCCTTTGGTTCTTTAGACTTCCAAATACATAAGAAGCTTTTGAATATTAAACATAAGCTTATGGATTGGAAAAGAGTTAAGTACTTTTCTGTCAAAAAGAAGATTGACGCTGTTTTGAAATGTATAGAGGAGGCTAATGAAGCTATGCAACAGTCTAGACTTTGTTATGAGGAGCTGGCTATGGTAAGAAGTGTCAAAGTGAATAAGCTTCAGGAGCTTAGAAGAGTGGAAGAGGTGTTTTGGAAACAAAGATCTAGGGTTAAAGGGTTGAACGAGGGAGATTTGAACACCAAAATATTTCACGCTATAGCTAATACTCGAAGACGTCAAAATGATGTTTTTAGTCTCTTAATTCAGGGAGTGGATTCTGATGATAGTGAAGGTATGTCCCAAGCTATTATCAGCCACTTCCAGAAAGCCTTCTCCTCAGAAGTCAAAGTCACTCTCAGACTTAGTAGGGTGAGACTTAAAGTCCTTCTCTCCAATTTGATTCCCATCCTGGATCAGGATGTCTCTTTGGAAGAGTTAAAAAAAAAACTGTCTTTGCTCTCCCGAGCGATAAGGCCCCTGGTCCTAATAGCTTCCCTCTGATCTTTTTCTAAAATTTATGGAATTTGATCAGTGGTGAGCTCCTGGAAATGACTAAGGGATTCCTTAGAAGAGGACATCTCTTTAAAGGAGTGATCTCCACCTTCATTGCTCTAATCCCTAAAAAGTCAATTAGAGCCAATTTGGGAGACATCAAATCCATTAGCCTGTTGACGAGCCTCTATGAAATAGTGGCTAAGGTTTGACTGAACGCTGGAAGGTAGTTCTATCGGTCATTATTTCTGGTCCTCAATCTGCCTTCATCAAAGATAGACTGATTTTTTATAGTGTTTTGATTGAACAAGAGTGTATCCATTCACAAATTCTTTGTAGAGGCACTGAAGTGGTTGTCAAACAAGACATGGAAAAGGCTTATAATAGGGTGGAGTTAAATATTCTATTAGAGATAATGAAGAACATAGCTTTTAGCGATAAATGGAGACAATGGATCTTTGGATGCCTATTCGCAGCCCATTTCTCTATTTTGTATAAAGGAAGTCCGATTGGGTTCTTTACGGCTACTCGAGGCCTTCGCTAAGGTGACCATCTCTCTCCTTTCCTCTTCACTCTTTATGCTGAATGTTTCAGTTTAATGTTGTTTAATGTTGCAAGGAGTGGACATTTTTTGGGTTTTCAGCTGCTCAACGGAGGACTTGTATATCCCACTTGCAATATACTGATGACACACTGTTATTCTGTGAATCTCAGATTGCTCAGGTTAGCAATATTGCAACTTTCTTAAGTTGCTGTGAAGTTGCCTTAGGACTTAAGGTTAACTTTGGGAAAATTGCAGTTGTTGGCTTGAATTGCAGTGATCAAGTGATAAGTTCAATGGCATAGGTTCTAGGGTGCAAGGTAAAGAAGTTTCCAATCTCGGATGGCCAACTACCAATTGCGGTTTGAGACAAAATTCTTCAACAAATCCAGGTGAAGCTTGACTTGTGGAAGTTTAAATATCTCTCATTTGGGGGTAGGATTACTCTGATTAAGGCGTGCTTGTCGAACTTACCTATATATCAGATGTCAATCCTACAGATCCCTTATTCGGTGGCTAGGAGAATTGAATTGATGAGGAACTTTCTGTAGGGGTCCTCTGTGGAGACGAGAAAATTCCATCTTCTTCGATGGGATAGAGTGTGCACGCCCAAACGGGAGGGTGGTCTTGGGATTGGGAAATTATTGCTGTTAACCAAGCCTTGCTCTATAAATGGTAGTGGAGGAGTTTAACTCGCAAAGATCATCTCTGGTACAAAGCTATTGCTTCGAAGTATGGAGATGACATATTTGGTATGTGGGTGGGTACAAGAAATGGGGTTAGGGGAATGTCTTCATGTTGGAGATCGATTTATAATTATAAAGCCTTGTTCATAGAGACATTCGTTGGACCTTAGGCAATAGCACCAATATTTCATTTTGGCATCATAAGTGGTTGGGGGATGTTCTTTTGAAACTTCTTTTTCCTTTGATTTTTCAAAGAATGGCTAACCCTAATGTTGTACTCTCTGATATCTATGAGTGTAGGGGTGATCATATTCTTTGGAATATCACCCTTTTTTGTAATAGGATTCCTGACGCTCTATTTTCTGAACTCTTTGGTTTGCTCAGATTACTGGATGAGGTTTATATCCCTCATAATGCCGTGGATGAAGTCGTTTGGGAGATCGATAAGGATGAAAATTATTCGGTGAAGTCGATGTACTAGCTGCACTTCCACGATAGGTGGCGGTGGTCTAGGCCTGGATTTGCCATCGTTTGGAGATAGCCTTTACCTCTTAAAGGCAAGGTTTTTTATGGCTAGCTATTCAAAATAAGGTGCTGACGGTAGATAATCTTATCAAGAGAGAGAAAATATTGCTAAATGTATGTCTTTTGTGTAAGGAGGATGGGGAATATGGAGATCATCTTTTTCTACACTGTTCTTTTACCTATCACATTCGGAGTAGGTTCTTTAACCTGCTTGGGAATGCGATGGGAATGCCACCAAGTGTTGTCGGTATGTTGCAAAATTTGACGATAGACTTACCTCGGACTGGCGTTATTATTTGGCAAATCACTAGAGGGATAATTTTATAGGAAATCGAGAAAGAGAAGAATAGAAGAATGTTTAACGGGATTAGCTTGCCTTTTGAGATAATATGGGAGAAGATTTTGCATGCTATTTGGCTATATATTTCGATTACCAAAGTTGGCCAAGATATTTTGGATTTGGATGTTTGGAGAAATTTAAAGATTTCGTTCCAGCTAGGTTTTTTGAAGTGCAGACAGAAAGGAAGATGGGTGGCCCCGATCTTTGGGGTCTTCAAGCTAAACTTTGATGGCAGTTCTTTAGGAAATCCGAGTCCTGTGGGATTTGGTGGTGAGCTTAGGGATTGGTTGGGAATGTTATCTTTTCTTTTGCTGGTCCTCTTGGGGTGAGTACTACTAATTATGCAGAACTATACACACTTTTTTATCGCTTACGTATCTTTGTACCAAGAAACTTGGGGCATTACTGCGTCCTAGAAGGTGATTCCATGAACGTCATCAAATAGTGTAAAGGGGAGCAAAAGTTGTCTTGGGAGTTCAAATCTCTGCTTCTTTATATCTTAGACCTCTCTAGTCCCTTTTCCTTTTCTTTGGTACATGTTTATAGGGAAGCGAATGTTATGGCTACTTCTCTTGCAAAAAGGGGTTCTCTCCTTACTGAGATTCTTGTCTTTGACTCTTTAAACCCATTTTAGTTTAATGGAATAGTGGAATTTCTAATAAAAAAAAAAAAAAGAAAAAAAAAGAAGCCTTTCAAGAGGTTTATATCCCAAAAACTTGGGGCCTAAAAGAACTCCTAGTTTGAGTTTACTCGAGTGAGCAAATAGATAGGAAGCTACTGCTAGAGCAGGAAATCTTTACACATAGTTTTCTGTATTCTTCGTTTATTTGGAGAGCTTCCACAAAGAAAAAAATGGCAGCCATCAATCCATGTTTGCAATGCTACTTATTGTTAAAAATATAATTATATGAATATAAAAAGAACAATCTTTTAGGCATAGACCTGAACATGGTGCTCTTCCGAGTCCATCGTCACCTCAAGAATGTGAGTCGATGAGGAATTCGTATTGGGATTTGTGATTATTATTTCATACTTTCCATGAGGAACCAATGTTTCGAAAATGCCATCTCGATCAGTTTTGCCCACCAAACTTCTTTTAATCCCCCATTCTTTGATCAACTTGTCCACAACATCTCCAGTAGGCAAGTTCTTGAAATTGTTATCTGTGAGGCACATGTTGTAGCAGCCCTCAGGATGCCACCCTGTCCACATGATGATACCTTGAACATAGGGATGAGAATATGTTTCTCTTAATATTGCTTCCAAGTTTTGAGCCTGCCAATTGAAAACGAATGTAAAAATTTCATAACCTTATTGATCTATAGATGAATACTTGAAAAGTTATCTTCTGGGGTTTTTATGAGGACTGTAATTACTGAAGAATTCAAACCAAATACTGAATGTAGAGGAAACCTTGGAAATAGTAATGGATTTGGAACTTCTACCAACTAGCACAATTTAAGAGAAGACAATTTTGATAGTACGTTCATGATGAACTAAATTGATTCAGTTTAGTGAATGAACACAGTTACAGTAATTCTATGATCTAACATGGTTGGGTTGCATCTCCATACCATTGATTAAGTCAATTTCATGGTTCCGAAGGGAAGTCCATCAAAACCATATGCAACAGAACCTATTCTTGATCGTTTAAAAACATATGGCAATGGTAGCATGTTTAGGCTGTGTAATTTCTCTCTCAAGAATGGTTTTACGACTTTAGGTTCATAAGGTGAATCAGTTTCCAAAAATTTTTTGAAGGCCCACATTGCTCTGGTTAATTTTGAATTCCCAAAGGAGTTTCTCTAGTTTTTCCATTTTGAACAGGCAAGCACATAAACATCCCTATTAGATAAAAAAAAGACAGAGAACCAAACCTGATTCGGGTCTGGGGTCACGTCAAGCTCTGTAATCCAAACAGGCAACCCTGTTGCACCCAACAAGTCGAGTGTGGCTCGCACATAGGGCATGTTGGGCTTCTGAAAATGACTCTCCAGTCCTATTCCAAGTGGAACACGATTGTTCCCGAGGAACGCCTGAATTTCCTTAAGCTTACCAATGTACTTATCAGGCGTTGAATCATGATCCTCACTCTGCTCCAATGTGTTATAATCATTCATAAACAATGTGGCCTTCTCGTCTATCTGCCCAACTTTTTGAAAATATTGGTCTGTTATATTAGACCCAAGTCTATCTTCATAGAAATGGAAATGCAAATTCTCATTCATAACATCCCATGCTATGACTTGGCCCTTATACTTATTAACCACTGAGTTGAGCCTCTTCTCTGCTGCTACTCTAAGCTGATCAGGGTTCAATTGTGGTACCCATGATGGCTGGTATTTTGGGTCATCCCAAAAGATGTTATGGCCTCTTACAGGGATGCCATGTTGCCTTGTGAAAGCGAACATGGCATCCGCTACTGAATAGTTCTCTTTGTTGGCTGTGCTCTCTGTGCTATACCATTTGAGTTCATTCTCGAAGGTGGTCACCGTGAATCTTTGATTCCACCAGTTTTGGTATGTTGGGTTGCTGAGGATGTTTTGGCCTATGGCTGAGCCGAATGGGAAATGGGGCCTTGTTTGTTGGAGAATCACATTTGCACCTTGAAGCTTCTTGCCCCTTACATTGACTGCTTCGAGCTTCACTGCCTTCTTACGCCCCTGAACAGGTATTGTTACCATGTGAATCTTTTCTTTTTGTGAAAAAGAATTAGCATGTGATGTTATAGTGACAAGTATCTATGTTTTCCTAAGAAAAGATGATATGAAGATAGCTAAGACTCTAGAAGATAAAATTTCTCCATATCACAAGATTTTCCTACTTTTATATTGATCTTAGTTTCAAGGTAGGTCTTTAAAAAACACAAAAGTCATTGTTAGATGCAATCAAGTTCACGAAGCAATTTATGTTATAAATTATTATTTTTTCTTTTGTTCTCATTCTAGAACTTGCTTTTTTTTTTTTTTCTATTCATTTTTCGTAATTTTTGACACTCTTCTCATGATAATTTCTTTAAAAATAGAAGTTTTGAAAGCATTTTTAGGTAGGATATGTGGTAGACGGTAATCAATGTATGTGGTTTCCTTGTGCTTTGTAGATTCACGTTTGAGCAAATAAACTGCAAAAATGGTTTCTGCAAAAGTAATCTATGGAAGCAAAGGCGTTTCAGGAATCAGGATATGTAAAAGATTTGAATCATTTAACTCGTTCTCAATTATATAAAACCAAGAAGTAGTTTAAGAATATTTTAGAGGTTGCCCTTTTAAAACAAAGTTATCACCTTTTCAATGCTTTCTGTTTGGTGCGCCCTCCACTCTTCTTCACTGAAAGGCTGCAAGGAAACATTGTCCACCCATATCTCCACTTCTATATTTTGGCTCTGCATAAAAGCAAAGTTAATATGAATATTTGGTTAGTGTCAAACGTAGTTGATTTCTAGTGAAATCAATATAGAGGGATATATATTACATTTTTATATTCTAACTATGGTTTGCTAATTGCTCAATAACAACCTGTGGTCAATAAAATTGGTATTAATTTGGTTTTTCCCAAGAAAGACATGATTATTTTGCATTTTTTTAAGAAAATGGATTAAAAGAAAAGAATGGATATATATATATATATATATATGGAATCTTTTTTGGGTGGATATGTATGTGGAGTACTAGGAAAAACAACGAATTACAAGAAGAAAGAAAATTTCAGTTCATAATCTAAGTAATCAAATACTAGATCATCATTAAGACTCACTTCACAAAGTAAAATTTAGGAAAGACTAAAATAGTAAAGTACAATACCAAGTTCTATGATGGGCTTTCAAAGATTAAATGCAAGAGCAAATGAGATTTACAGAAAGCAAAAGGAATAGACTTGTACACACTGTTCATTAAACTATGAGAATTTGCCATGTGATTTTTAGTACACTGCAATTATAATAGTTTAGAAATCCCATAAAATGATTGCATCCTTGAGGTTCCTCATTTGGGTTCATGCTCGAGTGCAAGTGGTTTGGACCTTGAGGTTTTGGATTCCAACCCATTTTACTAAAAAAGAAAAGCAAATAGAAAATGGAAGTATATATTACCTCGAAATAAAGCTCAGCAAGCCCTGAATAATTAGCCTCGAGGCCTCCCTTAAGCATTGACCAACACCCAGACTTTGCACTCACTCCACCACAATGTATGAATCCACCATCAGCAGTTTTGATGACTGCATTCACAGTCGTGCTTCCTTCATTAATCTGTATCCATCCTGAAGTTTCATACAAAATCTTGTCAGAAATGTCAATTTTAAAATTGACCTTTAAGAGATGCATGTCATTGACAACTGCCTTCACAGTCACACTTCCTTCACTAATCTGTATCCATCTTAAACTTCCATACAAATATATACATACAAATCAATCTTACCATGTAAAAAACTTTAATTTTCAAACATACATGCACCCACACAATCACAAATGCTTAGTAGAGGATGTCCTACAATATCTGTAACTTTACCATGATCACCCAAATTATCAGATTGAACTCTAATTTATTGTTGATTATCACTGATGAACTTTAATCCATCTCTTATTTTCATCTCGTCATCAACTCCACCTTTTCTCGGTCAAAAATAGCTTCAGATTTTATCCGTGAATCAGATGATCAGCATAAGCTTTTCAACTCCGAAGGCCCTCATTACTTTCATAAGATGCATTTTGGTGTCGAAATTTTTGATGGCCAAGAATCTATTTTCATCTCTAATTATAAAATTTTGAACTTTAAAAACAATTCAAATAAGCAGATCTATAAACGTATAAAAATCTTGGAAATGGATGGTCCAGATAATGTGTTGCAAGATGTACTATTTTTGAAACTTCAAATTTGTTTTCCTATATCCATACATTTTAATATTGAGATGATCAGTTAGACGGTTTTCCAATGTCAAAATAACATTTCTGATGGATTTTGATATGTATCTCGTTGAGGATTGATGTCTTGTATTATGAGGAAATATATCTGCCAAAGTTCGAATATATCCGTACATGGGATTTAATATATCTGGGACTTGATATATATATCCATACAAAGGTATTTCGCTAATTTATACCATCTATCTGGGACTCGATATATGTCGTTGCGATTGTGGGTTCATCCAAAGTTAAGGGTTAAGGGAAAAATACAGATTTCTTTGTAATTAGATAAAAACAGAGAGGCATGAGGAAGAGAGTGAATTGTAACCTTATTTTTCATTGCCAGTAAAGAAGCTCTAATCTCTCGTGGACGTAGGCATGTTGCCGAATCATATATATCTTTGCGTTGTGGTTGATTGTCTCTTTCTTTTGTGTTTGTTTATTCTTTCTTGTTTTTCATGGATTGTTTTTCGTTTTTACAAATTGATATCAGAGCCTACAAGGTTATTCCGCGTTCTGGGGTTTGCTACCACGATGACAGGAAATTGCTCAAGCGTCAAGTATGACATTGAGAGGTTCAATGGAAAGAATAATTTCACCCTTTGGCGACAAAGGATGAAGGATCTTTTAATACAACAAGGTCTGACTAAGGCTTTGCTAGGGAAATCGAAGAAACCAGCAAAGATGGACGATGAAGAGTGGTAAAAGATGGAGGAAAATGCGGTAAGTACGATTCGTCTGAATCTCTCAGATGACGCCTTGCGTTATGTGGTAGATCTCGAAACTGCTCTAGAGGTTTGGACAAAACTTGAGAGTATCTACATGACGAAGTCTCTGACGAACAAGTTGTTCTTGAAGAAGCAGTTATATTCTCTTCAGATGGAAGAAGACACATATCTGCTTGAATATCTCAGCGAGTTCAACCAGATCATAAACCAGTTAGCAAGCCTTGAGGTCGAAATCAAGGATGAAGACAAGGCCCTACTTCTGTTGGCTTTACTTTCAAGATCATACGTTCATCTAGTTACGGCTCTACTGTCTGGGAAGGAGACTCTTGAGATGGATAAAGTCATTGCTACTCTTATGTCAAACGAGACAAGGAAGAAGATTGGCAGTATTAAATCTCAAGGAGAAGGTTTCTTTGGAAAACACAAAGAGAGTCATGAAAGGGGCAGATTAAATCAAAGAAGGTTTGGAAGCAAAGTTGGTCAAAATCGAAGGGGAAGGGCAAGTTTATTTACTATTATTGCAAAAAAAAAAGGCCATATGAAGAGAGGCTGCCTGAAAAGAAAGGAGGATATAAAGAGGATAGAAATAGGAAAAACATCTGATGAACCTAACGCGGCTGATAGCTCTGGCGGAGATGATGAAGATCTTATCTCTATATCTCCAGGTAAGAATTAATTTATTAATTCTTGGATTTTAGATTCTGGTTGTTCTTTTCATATGCGTCCAAATAGAAACTGGTTCGAAACCTACAAATCACATAGTGGTGGGTCTGTTCTAATAGAGAACGATGTGGTATGTAAGACCATTGGAATACGAACTATCAAATTTAAGATGTTTGATGGGATAATACGAACCTTATTAGATGTGAGGCATATCCCATAATTAAAGAAAAACTTACTATCTCTGGGGGCTCTTGATTTGAATGGTTGTAAGTATACAACAACAGGTGGAGTCCTCAAAGTTAGTAAGGGATCTATGGTTGTCATAAAAGGTCAGATGACTTAAAACCTATACAGGTTAATAGGGCATACAGTTGCAGGTGAAGCTTCTGTAACCACAAATGTTGAGTCCAACATAAATGACACAAATATGTGGCACATGTGTTTAGGGCATATGAGTGAACGAGGTATGATAGAACTTCATAAAAGAAAATTGGTGAAGGGTATCAGAGCTTGTAAACTGGATTTCTGTAAGTACTGTGTTTTCAGTAAACAGTGCAATATTAGATTCAAAACTGCAACTGATACGAGCAAGGATATATGGGGGCCTTCACCAATCAAATCTAAGGGTGGGGCAGAATACTTCATTACCTTAATTGATGATTACTCAAGAAAGGTTTGGGTCTACTTCATGAAACACAAAAGTGAAGCATTCACGAAGTTTAAACACTGGAAAGAAAATGTAGAAAGGAAGACATGAAAGAAACTAAAATGCTTAAGATCAGATAATGGAGGGGACTACAAGTCTAGAGAATTTCAAGAATTGTGTAAAGAAGGGGGGACTGTACGTCACTTTACCACACTAGAAACTCCTAAGCAAAATGGTGTGGTTGAGTGGATGAACATGACTTTTTTGGAAAGAGCTCATAATATGTGATTGAATGCAGTTTTTGAAAAAACGTTTTTGCGCAGAAGCAGTTAACATGACCTGTTTCATCGTTAATAGGTCACCATCTACCTCGCTTGATTGCAAAATTCCAGAGGAGATGTGGACAGGAAAGCCAATAGATTACTCTATGCTGAGGATCTTCGGATGTCCAGCCTATGTCCATATGCAAAGTGGGAAACGTTCCAAATTAGACTCTAAGTCTAAACAATGCATCTTTCTCAGTTTTGAGAAGAGAGTGAAGGGATTCAAGCTTTGGGATTCTACTTCACATAAGGTTGTGTTTAACAGGGATGTGTTTGATGAATCTCACATGGTGAAGTCAATCAACATGCAAGATGACAAAATGCAAGTAGATGAAAGTGATGAAGAAAGATCGATAGTCCAGATGGAGCTAGAAAAGTCTGAAACACCAAAAGAAGAAAAATCATCTAGCAGCATACCAAAACAGCAACAATCACATGGTGAACCCTACAGTTTGGCAAAAGACAGAAAGAAGTGAGTATGCTTGTTGTGTTTTTTTAAAAGCTTTTGATGATAATTCCCTTATTTTCCTGATGCTTTATGTTGATGACATGTTCATCGCTGCCAAGAATGCATGTGACATAACTTTTCTCAAGTCTATGTTAAGTTTTGAGTTTGATATGAAGGATCTAGGGGCTGCTAATAGGATCCTTGGTATGGAGATTCATAGAGATAGAAGTGCAGGTAAACTACGGCTAACTCAGAAAAGGTATGTTGAATAGGTGTTGGAGTATTTCAACATGGAAAAGGCCAAGTCAGTTAGCATTCCATTGGTGAGTCACTTCAAGTTATCTGAACGGCAGTGTCCCACTACGGATGAGGAGATAGAGCAGATGTCTCTGGTGCCCTATGCTAGCGCAGTCGGAAGCCTCATGTATGCTATGGTTTGTAGCAAGCCGGATTTATCTCATACTGTCCATGTTATCAGTTGATACATGAGTAATCCTGGAAGGGAACATTGGAATGCTATTAAGTGGATTTTTATCTGAGCGGGATGTCAGATCTCGGAATTATGTTCAGCAGGAAGAGAAGCTCTACAGAACTGGTGGGATATGTCTATTCCGACTATGCTGGTGATTTAGACAAGCGAAGATCTACTATAGGGTATGTCTTCATACTAGTAGGTGGACCTATTTCATGGAAGGCAATGCTTCAACCCACGATTGCCTTGTCTACGATAGAGGCAGAGTACATGGCAGCAGTTGAGGCTGCAAAGGAGGCGATCTGGTCGACTAGTTTGGCTCGTGAGTTGGGGGTGGGGGAAGAAGATACTGTGTTGCATTGTGATAGTTAGAGTATCATAAATCTTGCAAAGAATCAAGTGTTTCATACAAGGACAAAACACATTGATGTAAGACATCACAAGATCATGGAGCTTGTATCACAAAGAATCATTCACCTGAAGAAAATTCATACGAATAACAACCTTGCAGATATGCTTACAAAGCTGGTCACCACGGAAAAGTTCAAGCTTTACTTGGACTTGCTTAATGTCTCTCATTGTTGAGAGTGAGTTTAATGTCTCTCATTGTTGAGAGTGAGGGAAGCACCCCATGGCAGGTGGGGGTGCAGTAGCGTACCTTTATAGAGGTATGGGGATGAAGACATCTTCAGGGTGGCTCGACAGAATTCAAGTCAAGGTTGAGATTGCTGAGGATTGATGTCTTGTATTCTGAGGAAATATATCTGTCAAGCTTTGGATATATCCGTACATGAGATTCGATATATCTGGGACTTAATATATATATCCATATAAGGGTATTTTAATAATTTGTACCATCTATCTGAGACTCTATATATATCGTTGCGATTAGGGTATTATCCAAAGTTAAGGGTTAAGCGAAAAACGCTGATTTCTTTGTAATTAGATAAAAATAGAGAGGTGTGAGGAAGAGAGCGAATTGTAACCCTATTCTCCATTGTCAGTAAAAAAGCTCTAATCTCTCGTGGACGTAGGCACGTTGCCGAACCACTTATATCTTTGCGTTGTGGTTGATTG